AAAGAGGCTGGCATGCACCTCTCGCCATTTCGTTCAAAACTGAACAATCTCGTCGACAAAAAACGTCGGCAGCATGGTGTCTCAGAAATACCAGCCGCCGTCGGTTCGGTCTCTTGGCGTCAACCGATGAACGCCCAACTCAGGTCACACATTATGCTAAAGAATCCAAGGTTACATTTAGGCCACGACTTCCTTTACATGACACGATACCTACTTAGCCCTTTTGTCGCGAAATCACGTTCTGAATCAGATTTAGTGCGGTAAGTGGTCAAAGCATGATCTATGGTAGCAAATTGTCTTCCTAAGTCATTGCAACACATTGATTAAGGCCATGAACTGCAAAGGTGATTGATATTGTTGCAGACTGTTACACTCTGCAGATCGTGTGCCCATCGGTGACATTCATTGCCAGTGAAGAAGAAAAAAACACCAAACACTTTTGAAGCAAATACGACTTTGCGGCCCTCCAAATTTCACAGCTCAGCGAGTTCACACGATTTGGAACCAATTGTTGTGCAACGCACGCCATGAGCGGATTTGAATATCCAAGATGTCGCGACTCTTCCTTCCATCGCTCTTTGACGTTCCCAGAAATACCGCTTGGGAATACCACAGACACTCCGTTAAGGTTAGGGCCAAGTATCTTACCTTGAGGAACAGGCCAGTGTGATAACGGCACCGTGTGCACACTGTGTACACCACCTTATGCACCGAGCATCTGAACGAAATGATGAGATCATTCCAACGGGTACTGTGTGCGGCCATCAGGCCTCCTTCTTTGGGTTGTAGGGCCAGCGCAGCGGGGGCGCCGGCTGGCTCCAGAGTGCACTGCTGTGGGTCACATGACACCTCGGTGGCGGTGCTGTGCGTACCCTATCTCTGGCACCAAAAACAAAGGCACAGCACTGTTGACGAGACTGTTCAGTCTCCTGCCTTGGGCGCCAGGATCAGTGCGATGGTGTTAGTGGTGCTGAGCTAGGTCCTCACGAAGACCGTTAAGTCTCCTACTTTGGGCGCCAGGATGAGTGCGATGGTGGTGGTGGTGCTGAGCTGGGTCCTCACGAAGTCCGTTGAATCTCCTACCTTGGGCGCCAGGATGAGTGCGATGGTGGTGGTGGTGCTGAGCTGGGTTCTCACGAAGCCACACAGATACTTCACGTCCGGTCCGGACGGCACCAGCAAACTGAAACAGAGCCGCAGGCAGCATCAGCCGCAGCTCAGCCTACAGCGGCGACAGCTGTTTGGCAAACAAGTCAGCTCGTGCAGTATCTGAGCACGCCTGGCGCGTCATGTCCATGCCATGTGGCAGTCACACAGCGTTTCAGCTTGCACGTCGCACCTTATGCCGGATACCCCCGACCTTCCAGCTCCATGCCGTGCCAGTCCCAACCGCCCGTCAGTTCCACGCCGTGCGTCAGGGCTACTCCACGCGTCAGTCGCTCCATGCATCAGTTCCATGTGATGCGTTAATGCCTCGCGAGGCTCCACGTCAGTATCCTCGCGTCCTCGCCGGGCCCTCCACTTCCTGCGTTTTCGGGTCACCGTGGCAACGCAACACAACACCGTTCCACGTCACCGGTTTAGTGGCCGGTCGCCAGCTGACCCCACCACCACGAGTCGTCACTCACTGCACCATGGCCATGGTAATGTTGACGATGGCGATGTTGTAGATGGCCCAGCTGAGGTACTTGGCCTCGTCGAACAGCGTCTGCGCGTTCCGCACGTTGACGCACACCTTGATGCCCCAGAAGAGGAACAGCAGCTCCCCTGCCGCACAAGTATAGTCTCCGTCATTCAAGCCTCAATTCACGACCGCGGTATTTCATCTCGCGCTGTACTACGCGGCATGGTGTGTGCAAGAGAGAAACTTTCGGAATGACACTCACTTTCTCGTCACATAACGACACTCTCATAACGACGACACTCACTACATCGCCGTATAACGACACTCACTTCACCGCCATATAACCAGCCACCCTACATATCATCATATAACGACACTCACTACATCACCGTATAACGATACTCACTACACCGCGATAAGACGACACTCACTACATCGTCATATAACGACACTCACTACATCGCCATATAACGACACTCACTGCATTGTCATATAGCAACAGTCACTACATCGCCTGATAACGACTGTACCGGCGTGAAACTGCGCAGTCAGGCGGCCCAGCAAATTGACCCGATCGATTGACCTGATCGAGCGGCTGCAACAGCCCGATGTTTCAGGGTATTGTTTTCAACACCTGCGCCTCTGACGTCAATTCCGCTGGGCACGTGTCCCGCGGACGACCAGAGTTTCATTAGGAACGTGCCGCGTGACCAAGCGCTTGCTAACTAAGCCCGATGTGGGACAAACACCAGAAGGACAAGCAAAACAGCCAGTGTTTGGCGTTCACCGTCAGTTCATGTCATGTCAGTATCGAAAAAGGAATGAAGCTCTGCCCCTCTGTAGCAGTTTGGCACGAGTCAGAGCACAGGCGTGACCGGTGTCGTCACGCTCGTGACGACATACTGGGCTGTGGGCGGGGGTGTGGGCTGACCTGCCGCTATGGAGTGGTCCCACCAACCGAACTCGCACTGCCGGAACTGGAGGCCCTCGGCGTCCCGCACAACGACGGCCTTCGGAGGGTCACTGATGGTCCACGAGCTCAGGTAGATGATCTGCAGCGTACGGACACACGGGAGGTGGCAAGGGTTCGGTGTCATGGGAGGCGACACGGATCATGTGTCATGGAATACGACACGGATCATGTGTCCCCGGAGGTGACACAGGTCCCGTGTCATGGGGGGTGAAACGGGTCAGGTGTCAATAACTAGGTCAGGTGTCATGGGGAGTGACACGATTCAGGTGTCGCGAGGGGTGACACGGGTCCGACAGCTGATACAGGCCTCACTACAACTACAACACTACACTACAACAGACACGTATGCGAACTAACGCAGGGCTGCGAAGTGAAAGTGGCGAAATCTGCCAAAAGGACACTAGTCTGCCGACGAACACAAGGCAGCCCACTTTTACCAGTCTCCAACTGGATCCAGGCCTTTCAACTGGACAAGAAACAATTTCGCCGAATGAAGCAGAACCACCGACTGAAACAGGTCACACAACTGACACCGGTCGGCAGTCTGCGTTCTGCATTTAAAAACGTTCACCCAACACGTGAATTGAGTCACGTCGACGAGCAGTTGCACCCAATGTCTAGTCGCCGACTCTTTACCATAATGAGCAGAATCGGGAACAGCCACTGCAGCAGCTGCTTGTCCGTGAGCTTCAGCTTGTGCGCCGACTTCACCCGATACGTCAGGGACACCCTGGAGCGTGACACCTGGCTGGTGACAGAGCGGAGCGCGGCGCGGGGCACAGGGCACAGCTCTGACGACACACAGCAGCACACACAGCGGTACAGCACAGCGCAGCAGCACAGCACAGCACAGACGAGACGGGTGTGTCGTGGCACGGATGTCGGCGCTCTCTGGGAAACGCCTGAAACTGTGACCGGATATGGTTGTCGGATATCTTAAAAGATCGAGCATCGTACGCATCGCCTTCTTGTGATGATTCTCATTGTGTGTGATGTGATTTGCGAGTAATAAAACCTAGACAATGAAGCTTTTGGCAATTCAGGCTCATATATACAAACGTATGCGTACAATATATATATATATATATATATATATATATATATATATATATATATATATATGTGTGTGTGTGTGTGTGTGTGTGTGTGTGTGTGTGTGTGTGTGTGTGTGTGTGTGGGTGTGGGTGTGGGTGTGGGTGTGGGTGGGTGTGGGTGTGTGCGTGTGGGTGTGGGTGTGTGTGTGTGTGTGTGTGGGTGTGGGTGGGTGTGGGTGTGTGTGTGTGCGTGTGTGTGGGTATGTACACATTAGGTATGCGTTGGGAAAACCGCCTTTCGTGGCAGTGGTATCTACGGAGGATATACTGACGCAACATCCGTACGCTTCATTACGGTAGCAGCATCGGTGAAACTTGGTTGGGCTGCTCTGACCAGGCCTTTGGCGACCTCAGTCTACGACAGCAATAGATCTGCACTGATCTACGGTTCGGCAGCCGCTGTCAAGGTGTGGCAAGTGACTCAAGTGTTCTCAGTTGGTAATGTTTTCCGAAAAGATTGATAACGACCTTAAAAAAGGATTGGCTCAATGGCCGACTGTCCAGATCTATTACCATCGCATCTATGTGTAAATGTCACACACACTATAATATATGTATATATTATATAATATATATATATATATAGATATAATATATATATATATGTGATTTGTGGACGGTATATTTGCCCACCTTAGGCACTTGGTCTGTCGTTCGTTCCTACTCTGGTTAAGGAGAACAGAGCCTAATTCTGAACAATCCCCAAATGGGCGGATCCCTGGTCGGCGCACGACAGCCTTTAATAAGATGAAACTGCGAGCTCGTGCATTGTCCAACACAAATGCTGGTTTTTTCGTGAGTCATTTTTGGTTGATCTCACGTCTCTGTGACGCCTGGTCATTGAAATCTGCGCTGGCTTACGATTCGTGTTCTACAGGGTTTTTTCTTCACGATTTGAGAACTCCACATCCCTGCACTTACCGAATGGGCAAGATAAGATTGTAGTGATTTTGTAATATTACAGGCAACGCCACCTTGTCATGCATTCGATCTGCATGCAAGGAAACATCTCCTTGAAAACAGCTTCTTGAACACGAACGCACATTTACAAAGCTCCAGCAGGACCCAACCACACGTGCTGATGTCTTGCTAACGGCGTGTTCATCTGCTGAACGCGGGGGGAGGTCTGCATTCCTAGCTCCGAGGCTCCACTGATTGTGTAACAGGTACCAATCAAAATGGCCGATAATTTTCAGCAATATGTGCCAGATTGAGTGTACTTTGCCCATTTTGAGTATCTTTACTTACACTTTTAAACTTGGCGTTGCAAGTGAAATGTCCTGTCCTTCAAGAAAGGCGTGGTCGACACATGTTTGAGTACGTGGCAGCGAGCACGCCATAGTAAAAAAGAATCATTCGTCGCAATTAAGCTTGATACATATCACGGTGGTGGGCTACAGGTGCGTCGCTTTTCAGCTGGCTCAGTTCAATTAACTGCGTGTATAACGCATTTGGAAGGCGATACAACGCAGGAATTTATTGGGACCCTCCGCTGCCGCGCTCGGCAGACCGGGTGGACAGCTCACAAAGAATTGCTTTCATACATTGGCGAGTAAGAGGCTCCTAAAGGCATTCATATACAATGCGGGGAAAAGAGCTGCGTCGCACTCGTACTTATTTGTGCCCTCTCCCTTCCCCTGAAGGCCGATAAATCCATAGTCTTCTTGTAGCGGTGTTTTCTGCAATAAAAAGTGTCACCCACAAGATAACAATATTCGCGTTTGTCATCACCGTAGTTGGCCCACGTCGCAAAACTCGTCAAACCGGCACATAACTTACACCATTGGCCAAGCTGTCCCTACTTGGGATTTGTCAGCTTGCCCAAGTTCTTGTTACCAGAAAGATGTTCTTGTTTCTGTTTCCTCTGTTCTTACTGCAGTCGATCTTTCGATCAGTTTCCCACTACGTTATGCGCTACGGACCGCCTTGTCGGTTTCAATCCGAATGGTTGAACCCTTGCAGACGAAACGTGCGACCGCAACCTTCCGAGGTAACGTCAGCGACCTCTGTAATTCTGGTCCAAGTGCGGCGTTAGGGCAAATTACTTGGCGGTGCTGCTGCGAGAGAGCCAGCAACACAGCTGCGAGCGAGCAAGCTAGCCGTGGACGTATCTCTGGCTCTGAGGTACTGCATGATCTGCACGGCCACGACTTCATCACTGTCTCTACGCGCATGCACCGTCATCAAATGACGCGGCGGCAATCAAATCTCTGCAGCAATTTGATCAGTCACTCAGACAGTGAGCAGCAGGTCGAAAAGTGGCGACATCAAGGCTCCTTCATTTGACTACGAAGTCAGGCCAGCTATGAAATCAATATCCGTCCACGGAGTGCGTTGTTGAAGGTGGAGGGGCCCGGTAACTCAGTTGACCGGAGCGCCTGTATACGGAATTGACCATCCCTTTGCGGGGTGGGTTCGAGTCGTTTTAAACGCTCATTATTTGCCCCTGACCGGAATAGCTTGCAGCTGGTGGCAGCGGCTACGGTAGAGGTCAGATGCGTCAGAGGGCTGGACGGACCGTGCCGAGCATTAGGGCACGTTAACCTGCCGCATTTCTGCCGTTGACCTGGCATTTCACAGACCGGATGGGGCGTTAGGTCTCGCGCGACCAGCGCTGCTTAGTGTGGGCTCTCATGCCAAAAATCCATCTGAGCCAAGGGTTTGAGCTAAATCTTAACAAAAAAACAAAAAACACTGCAGACATACAAAAAAACCGGAGAGCTTCACGCACTGCAGCACATATACGCAAATCTAAGTAA